GGGGGGGGGGAAGGACTAAAGAAATATGACTACCAGTCAGAGGGGATCATATGGATATTACAGAGCCTTAGAGGAGGATCAGGTAAATTTCGTCGTAACAAACTGTAATCGTCCGACCCCCCTTCCACAGGTGATGAATAAGGATCAATCCCAAGGATACTTCAAAAGGCTGGTGATCCAATTTGATAACAAAAAGGGAAACACAAAGAACAGAGAAACGAAAAGTAGATCGTAGGCAAATCTAGAAAAAAATTCAGCAAAATTTCTAGTAACCAAAATTTGGAGTTTACCAGTGACGCAAAGGAACAGAATTAATGAATATTTCAGCATTTATGAAGTAGACTTCATATTACTATTTACATTCAGTACACCAGACGAACGATCATATTGAATTGTTGTATCTAGTATGTCATTTGAATAAGCAAGAAAATATTGGAGAAGAGCACGATATAGTAGATTTGTTATATTGTAAGACTTAAAATAACACAAAAACCCTCTTTCTAAATTCATTGGAACCCGTCTCTACTTAGTAGAGCCATAAATTAACAAGGTTTCAGGTCCTTCAATTGCGGAGTGATTATTATGTTTAAAAATTTTCAGTCATTTTTCATTCACGCGCACACATAGTGCCTTCCTTTCCTCCTTCTTTCAATAAATGTTGTGACGTTATTGTCTTATGCAAAAAACACTCTTTTGCAAAACATAACAACAAAATAAATCGAGGAGAGAGAAGAGTCGTAGGTTGCCACTTTTTCATGCTACGTGACGACTTGTCGTCAAATGAAGCTAAATTTTGACCAAAAAAAATTGGTCTTAAAAGAATGTTTTCACGATTGCCGATCCCTAGAAGTTGAATCCAAACGGATTATCTGGAAAAGCAACTGTACGTGTTTAGTGTATGGTCGTGATATCTGCACGTGTTAAATTGGTAGTTGATATCATTATAGAGTAGAAGGTAGACAAATATCATCAGAGTGTGATCCTCGCCGTACAACCGGCAAGCTGGCCGTTTGTGCCACCAAGTTCCTAATGGCCTTTGAATTTATATTTTATGAATCTGGTCAGGTTTACCCTCGCAGCATCTATCACAGGGAAGTGGTCTCCCAGAGTTCTTCGTTCAGTCTTTATCTAAAGAAGAAACGAGTAACAGGAAACTTTCAAGAAAATACGCACGCATTCGATTGCAATTTCAAATAATCTCATTCAAAGAGCTTCTTCATATCATATTGAGTTACTGTTACTGTTATCATCAATTTTTGGAGCGGCTTGGGTTTGAAGGTTCGTTGAAAATTCCCGTTAACTGGAAAAAATCGTTAACATTTGACAATTGAAACACTATAACAGATAGTCATTCTCGGATTGACCAATCAAACCGCTCCTTACCCTGCTCTTGAGGACTGGTACCAGCTCCACTAAGTTTGGCATAAGGCCAACTGAATCTGCAGCAGTGTTGACCAACGGTCCGTCCGCAAACGTATCAAAGACGGCGTCCAGCGCTTCAGATATCAACCATAAACTATGATCACCGACAATGATGTCACGAAACACGACACCAAGGGACTGAAAGGACAACAGTAATCAAATTATCTTTGCAATCAGAATTTTTGAAACAAGAAATAACGTGAAGAACTTATGATTGATAAACATAAGAGTCCCAAGGAAGGCAATCACGACTGAATCTTCGAAATATGGATCTGTAAATTGCCCAGAAGTGAATGATCATGAGGTCAACTAGAACGAGAAGGATTTTAAAAAAAAATTGGAATGTAATCCATCAAATCTTATAAGAGTTGGAATCGAAAAGTGTGGTTCTTTGCAAACTTCCATTGTGTACACAAAGCGTCACCACAGCTTCGAATGAGAAACGGCATCTTTGAATAGCAACCTTTCGACATGATAGATTTTATCTCATTTATTTGTTAAATGAGCTAGGAAGAATTGGATGTTTAACCTGCAAATTATGCGGAAAGAACTTGTAACCGTATATAAATGAAGTTATCAAACAATCAAACAATAATTTTGAGGCACAATGTTTGAAGATGAATTGGTACATGGCATTTTAAGAAGTTCATTAAGTTGAAATAGCACCTTCTGCTCTGGGTAACACCACTGGCTTAAGTTTCTTTTCAAGCAAGATATCAACAACAGCTACATGTTTCCAGAACTCTTTCGAACATTATGCTGAATGCGCTAGACGTTCAAAATGATAGCCTTGAGAAGGGGAAAAAAAAACCAACGTACCTTTAGGACCTCGAGAGTGTTGTCCTTCTTGCCAGCCATCTTGCCAATAATTCCCAGGATGCTTAGCAGCTTGACCTTAGCAGCTTCACATGACGTGTCAGCCGTGATTCTACACAGTGTTGTCACATGTTCAGTCGTGATGCACTGTGAGAGATACGAGAACAACATAGTTGACCAGTTGTAAAAATATCAGAGTCTATGTGTAACTGAAGGGTGTGGGAGGGGGGGAAGGGGGTCTGGAGTACCGGTAAACCCCCAAATTTTTGTTAAATAATGATAATAATAACAAAAATGGTGACAAAAATTTATAAAGGTACAAAATCCGATATATCCCAGATTCCAAACAGACGTTGGTAAAGTTTATGGCAAAGTCTAAAGGATACATCAAACTCCAACATGTATTTGAAAGATAGTTCTGTCAACCAGTCCGTTTCCCTCACTCTAATTCGTCACCAACTGAACATATTTAGCTCAGCTCATTTCGCAGTTTTTAGCCTTAAAGAGGTTTGATAAAGTGACATGCTCATCCTACCAACACTCCCACATTTGGGCTTGACAGGCATGCACCGCCCACAAGAGTATGGTTTTCAGAGTCTTAAATCTTAAACATGACGTTCCATTTTATTGGTAACCGTATTGAACAGGGTGTTTTTCTGGAGGACTTGAACAGGGCGTGGATGTCCATGGGCAGTAGTTGCTAAGGGTTAGGGCTAATTCCACATATTCTGTCTGAATATACTGCAAATGGCTCCTCGAGGCTGCAATGCCATCTTTTATTCAGCCTTAAACATGATAGGGGAACGAGCAGATTTTGACCTTACCGAGGTCTAGGTTTGGAGACGTTGGTGACACAAACGTCCCTTGTCTTACCCCACACCCCACACCCCCCCGCCCTTGGGGAGGGAGGTATTAGCATTGTTAACATAACCCAACCCAATACTCACTTGCGGCTCTTTTACAGAGGACATTTTATCCATAATTGATCGAAGGACTCCTGTGGCGGCTTCTAAAAAGTCTTCCTCGCGGGAAACAAATACTTTGGCTAGAATGAAGGGAGGAACGGAAGATGCGAGACGTCAAAGGAAGAATGAAATTTTACAGACAATGTTTCAATTACCGTTGTTATTGTAAGGCGGAAGTGGTTATTTGAACACTGAGTTTAGGTTTTGGTTCTAAGTTTTTGTCACACGGTGAAAAGTTTGCCATTTTCTCTCTTACTGGTGTATACTCGACGAAACCGAATATAAGGAAGCTTGCTCGTAGACCTGATTTAGTTTGATTGTTCTGTCTCGCAATACACATCACAAAAGCCATCATACTTTTTTTTTCTCCGCACTTACTGTCTGTTGTAAAGGTTAGAGAGAAAAGCGAATTCCAAAGTTGTCCCAATGCTTCATCTCCTCCCAGCAGGTCTGTATCCAAGGCTGACACAATGTTATTAAGGCAAATTAATGCCCTCGCTTGTACTGTGCTTAATCTGACAAGAGAAAATATTAACTTTGCAAGGTTAACATGCTACGAGAGATTCTATCTGAGAGACCGATCTTTGTTCATCCCCTGATCTTTTTAGTATTGGTTTCTTCGGGCGACTTGACTCTTTTTTTTGGGCGACATTACTAAAATTTCGGGCAACATGACTCAGGTTTTGGGCGACATGACTTCGGGCGAGATGACTCTCGAGCGACTTGACTGTAAACCCTACTGACGATGGTTCTTCAAAACAAAATCGGGACGACAACACTGCAGAGCGTTTAGAGTGTGAGTACGGAATAGGCTCAAGGCTTCTGCCTCACGAGTAGACGGCAAGCAAATGCATAAAGATGCTGTGTAACAACCTCATACAGTGCTTGAATTTCTCATTCGCTCTAAAACAAAGGCATGGGTATATTTGTAGTTATATCACTTAAAATCACTAACAACAGCAAGTAATTCATAGTTATGGGCCTTACATGTGAAGCAGCTTCTCTCCGTCAGCATGAGCACTCAAAGCTTCATACATAGTCGCTTCACCAAATGAACATTTCGAAAGAACCTGATGAGAAATAACTTCGGCGAGTGAGCAACTAACGATGGTTTTCAGTTTCGTATCTGATTGATCGAGCGCCAGTTTTCTTCATCAAGTCAAAGAGCGAGGTAGGCAAAACGAATGCATTTTCAGATTCTTTTCGATACTCAATTGCAAACCGCTCTGCTATAGAATAAACCCCTCATCCCTGCCCTACGCTTTTGTAGCCCTCTGCCCACAGGGGTACGACATAAAAACATCTGACGATCAAGCTCCACAACTTGCAGAAAATTCAGCTGAAAAAGGCTTTCCTTTCGAACTCTTTTGAATGGCCACACTTTTCTTTGTTATGTAAAACTTCGGTGATAATTATTGTCTTCATTATATTACCAAGTCGAGTTAAACTGCTCCAAAATTCAGTATTAACAGAAAACTTAATCCCAAGATAAACATTCTTTCATGAAAAATAATAATAATAATTCAACTTACCCTTTTTGGAACTCCTTGCGTGACAATTGCGTTGATCATTTCCGTGGATAAACTTTCAGAATTCTACACAGAAACAAAAACAGAAATAATTATAAAACACAAAATGTGTATCCATATTTTTAAAAGATGCCATCTTTGCTTTGTTCTCTGCCCAGTTGAGTTAAGAAAAATTTACACATTTTCTCGATAATCATTATAGCACAACCGCGGAAAATCTAACCATGTCGACATCATATTGAGCTGCCTCTTGTAGGACTTCTTCTTCATCAGCTGAGTCCAAGCTGATACAGTCATCTACATCTTCCCATTCGTCGTCATTAGAATCTGCAAGGAGAAAAATATATTCAGCGATAATTAGCAAGCAGGAAGGGCTAGACCTAGAAAGTAACCTTGAACCCTGAGGCCAGCATTAAGGTGACGGTAATCACAAACCGTTAACTTGGTTTACGTTATGTGCGTGTGTGTTCGTGTGCAAGTGTGTTTTACTAACTTAAGCACAAACCTGAAGGAAACATACCGTAAATCATATGACTATCTGGTAAGATAATAACTTTAATTATGAGTCATGACTGTAAACTGGGGACACTGTAGGAGTAAGAAACCAACTTGTAAACGTTGAGTAAAAAGACAAGTTAAGCAATAGATAAAAATACTATTGCCAATATTTACATTTTTAAGCTACGATGTGCATTAAAGGTAGTCACCTCCACATTCTTCACTCTTAAGTCTCGACTTATCTGACCGTCTCACCCTCGTTTTATATTCTTTAAGACTGGCTATAGCTCTTAAGTCTTTTGGTAGTCTATTCCATAGCGAGGGCCCGATATTCTTGACACTGTATAGTCTACGCGTAGCCGTAACCTCACCCTCCCCCCTAAGTGAAACATTTCCGTTTTATTTTGCGGGGGAGGCTAAATACCGTGCTATCCGTAAGTTACTGTATTCAATTCGTCAAGTTGTATAGACAGATGCCGTGATTAAAAATATCTCATATGTATGTTGGACAGATACCGGCCTTAAACTTAAACATGAGAATAACTATGCAAAGCTTCAACACTAAATCATAACTTTACATCTGACATTGGGTTCTGACCTTTGTTTTCGATTGCAAAAGAAGAGGCGTTAAATTCATAACTGACTCTTTAGAAAGTGAAGTCTGGAATGAATTTCCTCTTTTCACTTCCTGAGCGTGTTTCGAACCTCTTGAATGAGTTGCCAAAACTGATGGTAAAGATCTGCCGATGGCGTGACACAGCAAGCTTGTAACGCTCATCTCCTTCACTGAGGCAAAGAGGTGTCGAGAGAAACTGTTGTGCTGCATCCGCCGGTACGTGAAACACTACATGGGTTATCAAATATGAAGTAAATACGCAGTCACATCGAGTTTCGAATATTTTCCTTAATTTTTTAACTGTACACCGAACCGAGACAAAACGGAAATTCAGAATGACGTCTCTAGTCTCCATTGTTATGCAATAGCTCTCGTCTGGAATGAAGGCGAAAATTCAGTGACGGCGAAAACAACTGGCAGACGTTTAGCCCTTCATTTCTGTTTCGTTCCGTTTTTTATTTTTTATTTTTACACTCTATACCCTAAACGGTTGGTTTGTTTCATTAAGTTGCGTAATGAAATTGCAAAGAGTACCCTGAAAAATGTTGGCAATATTGAACAGGATTTGAACTTGTGACCGAGCGATGCTGTTGCGATACTATAATCGACTCAGTCAATCTTTGAACTCCCAAGATCTGATTGTTAATTCTCTTCTCTAACTGCTATACATTTCCTTGAAAATTAGTGACGAGAATTAAGTGTTTGATCAAGATAACAACTTCTTCCTTTAAAGTTTGAGTATTCTCATCACCAGTTTACTGGATAATTAACGAGTATTATAAGGAGAAGTTAACTTTTAATCACTTATGGGAATTAAAGGTTAAGTAACCATTAGT